TACGGCTACTAGTCTCGCGCTCGCTACGGAGATATAGGCTTAAGACCGTCGCTCGACCCGTAACTATAAGGTCCCTTAGGAAGTTAAGGACGAGCGCGCTAAGGCCGAAGCAGCGCGTAAGAAGGTATTACATACTCGCTAGGCCCTCCGCAAGGCTACTAAGAAGTATAGCGCCCCTTCTAGGGCTAACTATAGTACTAACTATAGTGATTCGGATATTAATATGCTAGATGCACTACTAGAAGATATCTCCTCCGAAGGCTCCTTTAGTAAGCATAGAGATAGAGGGCTCTCGCCGATCCTATTAACTAAGAACATCTATAGTTCTTACAAGGGCGACTCTATTACGTACCTTATTACTAAGATTGATATAGTTCCTAAAGCCGATATAGGCAAAGCTCCTACCGCCCTATCTATCTATTAATAGCTCGACGACCTTAGTAAGCTAGGAGAAGAGCCGTTCTCTATATATACTAACTATATTAAGAAGGCCGCTAAGGTCTATAGTCTCTATGCTAGTGCTAAGGCGATTGTCCTCGTCGGCCGCCTATTAAAGATTAGTCGCGAGATTCCTAATTAAGACGCCTTCGCTACCCTTAAGGCTAATTAGGCCTATACTAACTAGTTTCCTAGACGCCCTATTGCCGCCCCGATATCTCTAGGACTCTACGCGTTTAACCCTACTAGTACTATTACTCGCGCCCTTACGCTAACGGATCGCTAGAGCAAGTTCGTTACTAGCATTCTTAGCTAAGGCACTTCCTTCGACCGCTTTCGCTAGACTAGTAATACTATCTTCCCTTAAGTCTTTAGCTAGTTATAAGAGCCTCGTAGAGCATATCTTCCTTTCCTTATCGACCTAATATAGGAGGAGTTTAAAATGTACCTTTAGTATATGCGTGCGATGCCTAAGTCTAAGTAGGAAGGCCGTAATACCCTTTAAACTTATAGTATAAGCAACTAAATCGTCCGCTAGCACCCTACCCTATAGCTCTTAGCTGTCGCCCTTCGACCTAATTACGTATACGAGCTTATCTCTGTCCCTAAGCCTACTAAATTCTTCAAGGTTAGCGGTACTTATAAAAACTGTCCTTCTAAGGAGTCTGCTCGTCTCGGATAAGATATAGTTAAGCTCGCAGCTAGCGAGGGTGCTAGTTACCTGCGTATTAAGGTCTGTCTTATATCTAAGGATAAGACTAGCTGCTCTACTATTATCGAAGGTATATATTAGCCCGAGGTCTTTGCGAACTAGGTTAAGAAGCTCTAGGCTCGTAGCCTAGTCCCGCTAAGCAAGATTAGTAAGCTTACTAATAAGCACCTTACCGACGACGACCTCGACTATATGTTCGATAGTTAGCCTAATAGTAAGGGGCGTAAGGCGGAGTAGATCCTTAACCCTCTAAAGGAGTACGAAGTCTCTATTTAGATGCTATACCTACTATATAGTAATCTAAAGACTAAGAGCAACCGTATATTAATTAACCTAGGCTACTCTCGCGTTATCGACGGTACTAAGATTAAGGGTTACGACAACTTAACCGTCGCCGAGGTTACTAAGGCGCACCGCAATCTAACCGCCCTTCTAGGTTCGAATACCTTCGTGCCGTTCCCTTTCCCTACTACTATCTTAGTCGAAGGCCTTAGTTGCATCTCCGACGCCCTAGTTAGTAGGATTCCTTAGTTAAGTTACGTTGTTTAGAACGAAGTTAAACAGATCCTCTAGCTTAATAACGAGGGACTTAAGGAATATCTGCACGATTAAGAGAATGCTACGAAGGAAAAGGCTACTAACCTCCTCGTTAATTAAGCTTTCTACGAGGGATAGTACTTCGGTACTAATAGCTTTAATATATACGGAGGAGATTTCGAGAACCGACTAGCAGATAAGGTTATTGCTAGTAAGGATTACGGCGCGTTAAAGCAACAGTAGGTCTGTATAGTATTGCTTAGGAAGTTGTTTTTGTATAATTATAGTATCTAGGATTAATGCTACCCCGGGGGTATTATTGCGGAGTTCTGAAAATAGCCTTAGCTAAGAACGCTAAGGATGTATATATGTTTGTTTTAAGCGCAATATAAAGCGTGTCTAGTCAGACACGAAGAAAGGGAGGGATATTAGCTAGTAACCGGCCCTATACCTATAGGCTAGTTTTGAGCCTATATAAGAGGCCTCCTTCTATATTATAGATAGAGCATCAACCTCGTATAGCACATTGTTTATATCACACTTCTATAATGCCTATGTTGTAGGGCTCTAGTTATTAGCCTAAGCGACAGTCTCGTTATCCTATCTTGCTAAACATAGCTGCCTATATTGCTATAGGTTATATTACCCTCGGTAGCCTATACTATTGCTATAAGTAGTAGTAGTAGTGTTAGTTTCCGTCCTTTATTAGTCTAGTAGTTTCTATCGCTATTATTATTATTATTATTATTAGCGGCTTCTCGAGTACCTAGCGTATTAGTATCTTCCCCTAGAAGCTTAGACTAGCGGAGCCCTAATAGCCGGAATGCTCTATACGATCTACGTCGGCGAGGCTTAATTGCCGTATAGTTAGATTCTAGCCGCGGCTACTTAAGACGATTATCGATATAGTATAGTAGGAAGATAAAGGCTAAACTACGTAGAATAGTACGACCGGTATAGCTAAGACGTTAGACAACATCCTCGATATCGCGCGTAAGAGTAAACCTAGTCTAGTAAATAAGCTTAATGTCTAGTACATTTAGGCTAATACTAAAAGCAGTAGTAGCAACTATAATCCGGTGTTCCGATAGCCTATCTAGATACTCTATAGTCTTATAAAAGCGGTTATACCGGCGCTTCTAGTCTCGCTTAGCGACACTGCTAGTATAGAATATTACTATAGTATATATATTAATACCTTTATTGTCCTATATATATCGTTTCTTCTAGTCCCTATACTTAGCAGTCGTTGCGACTAGCTAATACCGAATAATATTAGCTAGATCCTAGACATACTTACGACTATTAATAAATAAGAGGGCCTTCTTAATATTTATCGGCGTAGCTTCCTTAGTCTCTAGGTCGAATATACTATCGATAGCGAAATATAGGTACTCGTATAAGCGGAGCTAATTCCTTAGAATAGTACGTAGGATATACGTAGTTTTAGACGATCGACACTACTACGAATAATCTTAGTCTAGAATAGCTAATTACTAACTAGACGAAATCTACTATATTTAAGTATAAAGTCCTCTATATCCTCGGACATTGTCGTAGAACAGCCGAGCTAAACTGTATTATTACGGAGCAACTTACGTAGAGCGAAGATCTATACATATTCCTTCCGAAAGTTACGCTACTTATTAATAAAATAGACTTTATCGATTACTACGAGACCGATACGGGCACGAACCTTAGGGTCCTATAGTAGCTTCCTAAAGGCTAGACTAGCACCGGTTTCTAGACTTAGGATAATATAATAATATCTACTATTAGTAATATAGTCGTATAGCTTAGGATAGAGGCTTATAGTTTCGGAGGTAATATTAATAGCGTTAACGATACTATCTCGCTCGATCGGCTAGCTATCTAACTAGCTATCTAACTAGCTATCTAACTAGCTATCTAACTAGCTACTAGTATCTAACTATAGCTATTAATACCAGTTCTCGACGACCTTAGCCTACTCCTCGCTAAGGCGATTTAGCGGTGTAAACTAGAGGGTAATATAGCTAGTTAAATACGTAAAGGCTATAAATACTAAGCTCTTGCCCTCGCCTGTCTTCGAGATCTATAGAATATCGCTGCCGCCGAAGATTAGCGCGAAGACTAGATCGATCTAGACGTCCTTCGGCTAATATCCTTTTCCTAGGTAAAGGCGATCTAATAGCTTAATAAGGCTAGCGGTAACGATATTACGATAGATATTCTTAGCCTCTAGAGAAGCTACGGCATTATATACGAGTTGCTTAACTTAGTCCTACGATAACAGGTTATTAGCGGCGTTAATACGATCGTAACGAGTCTAGAACTATGCTTTATAATCTCGCTTATTCTTAGGCTACTAGACCGGTAGCAAGTAACTAAAATCCGGGCGCTCTCAAGTTACGGCGGCGCGACCTAGAAGTGCTATTAGAAAGTGCTACTCGGATTTATTCTGCTATCTATTAGTCTTACGCTTCTTAGCCCTATCCTTCTTCTCCCTATTACGCTACTTGCGAGTGCCCCTCGGAGGTAGCGCTATTACTATCGTATGTTTTAGTAGGCCGCGATATTATTAGTAGGCGATAGCGAGGTACGATAGCGAGGTGCGATAGCGAGGTACGATAAGGCAAACAGGTATCTAAAGGGCTCTCTAGACCCTTCGTTAGGCCTATTCGAGTCTAAGAACGTGCTAGATAAAGGAATTACTACTAGTAAAGGTATATATAAGCTAGTAATATAGTATAGCCCTCGGTAGCAAGATAAAGGCAAAGGGTTAAGAATATAGGTATTCTAAGAGTCGGAGGTACGAGCGGCGGTTAATCTAAGAGTCCGCTCGTAATTTACTTAGCGTTTTATATACCGTTTATATATAAGTAATATAAAGGAGGGTAGAACAAACGCAGTTACCGGAAGACCTATCTTAGAAGATCGTATCTATAGCTTTAATTTAACACTTTAATATATACTTTATATAGCTATTTTAAAAGATCGTATTATTACGTAGAACAGCTTTTTTAGGTTTATCTATCTAATATATAGTTATACTTCTATAAATTCGAATTCTCGTTTATATACCGGACGGTTATATAGGAGCCGTACGGTTTTCTTTTAGGCGCTTCGCTATAGGCTTAGTATAGACCGCTAAGCTAGATATATATTAGTATACTTAGCGGAGAGATAATATAAGGATATAGAGACAGAGTAGAAGGTAGAAGGTAGAAGGTAGAAGGTAGAAGGTAGAAGGTGCTAAATTTAGGTAGAAGGTCTATATAAGCCTACAAAGCGGGGCCTCTAAATGGAGGTAGGATAGGGTGTGGTTTTAGAGAGGGGAGGAGCCGACGTTGATTGATTTTGCGGTTGCGCCTTGGATTGTGAGGTTGTGGGGTTCCGATCAGTTCAAGGGGGGTTTGGGGATTCCTGGGGAGGGAAAGGGGGGTAGGGATGAGGTTGTTTGGGAGAGGTTGAGGAGGTGGAAGATGGTAAGTGTGGATTGGATACGATATAATGTGAGATGGGGGTTGCTGGCGCTTTTCTTGTTTGTTTTAGGCGCTGGAGAATAGGCCGAGTATTCGTGATACGACGTCGGAGAGGGAGTATTATTTGCCTATTTATCAGAGGTATGCTGAGGATCGTGCGCAGAGTGAGCTGGCGAAGAGTATTCGGAAGGGTCAAGGTGTTGTGTAGAGAGATGAAGAGTGTCAGTGTCACACTCGTGTGAAGATATGCCTGGAACTACACCAACAACGGGAATTTGTTGCCTATCCATGTTGTGGTGAACTTGATAGTCAGGTCCTTCCCATCGCTGCCTGCCAAGCATACCACTGCCAAGCCGACCATGTCTTTGGCTGAGTCAGCGCGATGGGACTCCTTCAACCACATCGCGATTGGACATTTCAGCTAGCATTAGTGTATCAAGATGTCGTACTTCCATGTCTCTCAACGTGGCCGTTGCGACCACCTGCGACGGGTAAAACTGCATGATGAAGAGTGTCTGAACCATTCAGGAGGTCCGGGTTCGTGGAAGGAGGAAGAATGGAAGCTTCCAATGGAACATACTGTAGCGCAGGGAAGTGCTCGCCAACATATCGGCAATGTCTACCCTGATGCTGTGCACAACAACTATGGCACCGAGCACGTAGTGAAAGCTACACCGGATTGGTCCATCTATTTACGACCGGGCCGCTACGAAGACGCAGAAAGATTGGGTGGAGGCTTTCAAAGAACTTCGACATACACTGGGAGGAAATAATCGGAGTGCTTTGATATCGATGGGGCACCTTACAGGTGTGCTGTATGTGAATATGGGTCGGTATGAGGAGGCCGAGAAGCTGCAGACAGAAGGCTTTAAGCGGTGTTGCCAGCATTTCGCAGAAGATCATCTGGACAATCTGAAGACCCTCGATGCACTCACCGTCATATACTGGCATATGAAACGTGATGATTGAGCTGAAGAGATTCACACAGAAGTTTTGAAGGAGTGTTGGCAGACTTGGGTGGGAGAAGAGCATCCGTTCTCTTTGGATGCGATGTACTATCTGGCCCGAAAGTTGTGGGAAACGGTGCATAAACGGCCTGCGATCGATCTCATGGGCGAACAGCGATTTATTCGGAGATGAGCATGTTAAACTCATTAGATGCCGTGAAGTCTTGAAGGGGTGGGAGGCGCGTGACCGGCCAAGAGACGAAGATGCCACAACCGGAAGAGAAGATGGCTTTCTGGGAAGCGGAGTGAGAGAGACGACGATTCAAGTCGTAGCACCGCTGAAGAAGTCTTTGATGGCGGCTTGATCAGGATCGATGCACGAAATATCACCCGACAAGTACTCAGGTCAGGTTCGGAGCGTTAGCAACTCGTGGTATGCATTTTCTTATGGCTGATTCTATCCAGCGGTTACTCGAATCTATTAAGCGAAGCGAGACTAAATCTCAGCTCTGCTACCCGAGAAGCCCGTTGACCTGCGCCTTTCGAAGTCAATGCTCATATCCGGTCACTCAGCATCTCTTCTGCTGAGTCCGCCGCGATCCCAATCCTGTCGCCACTTCAACCATTACTCCCGTCGCCCACGACAAGTCACACAAATCTTGACTCTATCCTCCTGAGCCATACCCTGCTTACGGCAGTGCGAGCATTTCTCCAAGTCCATACCTTCCATATCATTTGCATCCTCCGCCATCTTATTCAAGAGATCGGTCATGCACAGAATGCAGCGCTTGCTAGAGAGACACTCGCACTCCTCTTTCAAGTGCTCTCCATTCTCCCAGCAGCAGCGCTGACAGATCGTCACAACGACACCGCCGCTCCGTGCGACCTCTCTGCCTTTAGCATTACCGATCGTGACAGCCATATTGGTACATGCCGTGCATGAGACGCTGTCGTAGGTCGCTGGATGCTTAGGGTTTTGGCAGACGTATGTCTCGGTGTGTTTAACAATGCCTTGAAAACCTTGGCATTTGCGAGGCTGCGGGTTAGGCGCATTCTGAGCAGATGTCGTGGCATGGACCGCTTCCAGCATCGCTTCATGATTCGGGACTCCGCCTCGACTAGGAACAGAGGTGAGAAGCGCATCGTAAGCTGCGCGAAGGCCTAGATTCTCTTCTTCGAGCTCCATGTTACGCTTCTCTGAGGTCTGGAGTCTCTTCTGAAGATCTGCGTTTTTCGCCTTGAGGATGATGTTGCGATTTTGAACGTCAGCGCTGGCGTTCATGGAGCGCTGGGCGTTTGATGTGGTGAGCTCCTGGATTGCCTGCTTTTGTTGCTCGTGCTCTTGCTGAAGCTGCTTGACTTCTTCGTCACGGGTTCTCAGCTCGTGGAGGAGAGACTGGATGTACAAGTCCTGGTTCGAAGGGCCATTATTGTCCGTCATTTCGACGTCTCCATTTGGCTCATTCTGGGTGTGTTCGACGAAGCGAGGACGCATCTCCTGTCTCTCGCTCTTCGCGGCTGGAGCTTCTCGCGATCTCCGACTTGGAATACGGATGACGGCCTTCGGACGTGCCTCGACATCCTCATCATCAGTTTGTGGTGTTTGCTGCTCAGATGCGATGGGTTTGATGTCCGACTCCTGGCGGTACAAAGAGCGGCGTTTTGTCAGCTTGGGCTCTCTGTCCTTCAGAAAATTCGCCTCGCGCTGGTTTTGCTCCTCTTTCGATTGCCATTTCCAGTTCTCCGAGCCTTTCCTGGTTGTGAACATCTTGACCTTGTTGTAGGTGGGCTCTTGGGTCGCTGATGGTATAGGCTGTTCGATCGCGGAACGCTTTCTTGGGTACTGTTCGTCGACTCGAGTGCGAATGAGCAGTGGTGAGAGATGGAAGTCATCATGAGAAAAGAAAAAAAAGTCTTATAAACAGAATCGTGTTCGCAACGTTCACTTTCCCAGCTCGTGAATGTCACCATCTCGTGAATTATCTCGTGAAGGGCAGCCCTTCACTTGCATCACGAACTTCATCGCGAGACAATGCTTTATGCTGAATTTCGCTTGCGTAGCTGAGTATATACAGTTTTAGAGGAAGGTATAGAGTTGAAGTTTAGCGTGAGTAGAAGATAGATTCGTGACTCCGATGCTGAAATATTTATGGATGTAGGAGTAGCTCGATGTGCTACCTGAGACATCTCAGTGCTGTGGAGACTGATAGAAACAGGTGAACAAAGCAGACTGAAAGGAACGCTTACATAGTCGCCTTTGTTCTCCCAGCAGACCTGATCTACGTACAAACTGTTACGGACGGATACTTAGCACCTCACAACCTCATAACCTAAAGAGATGGGCAAGTGATACCATAATGCTATAAGAAACATTACCCGAAATTCCTTGACATCGTCGCCTTTGTTCTCCCAGCTTTTCCAAACTTGATCCATATACAGGCTGTTACTGTCGGATGCTTAGCACCTCGCAACCTTACAACCTATAGAGATAGGCAAGTGATACTATAATTCTATAAGAAACATAACCCAAAACTCCTTGACATCGTCGCCTTTGTTCTCCTAGCTTTCCAACCTTACTCAACCTATAAGCTATTACGGTCGGATAATTAGCACCTCGCAACCTTATAACCTATAGAGATAGGCAAGTGATACTACACTTCTATTGGAAACATCACCCAAAATTCCTTTGTCCCATCTAAATGCACATACAGAACCAAGGCCTCGATGAGTTCGCAAGACCTCTATAGCCTCAAGGCTCTTCAACTCCTCCGCACTCTCTTCTATCTATGAAATCAACCCAAGCCTCCATCCCTATCCCCACTAACCGCACTCCGGCGCCACATTCTCCCTCGCCTCCTTCAAAATTTTCTCCTACTTCCCATCCCCCTTCGGAATCCTAACGTCACTATGACAACCCTCCCCCTTGATCTTCACAGTCAGAGCTACGATATAATCCTCCCTCACCTCCCTCGAGATCCGATTTCCAAATGTAGCGTTACCCTTTAGTCTTGGTCGCTCGAGTTCGAGTGCTTTGGGCTCATCGTTAGTGTCTTCTTCCTGTATTTTAGCCCATTGCTAGGGGATGGTAGTAGGAAACTTGCTGACTAGGATATTAATGAAGCCGCGCCAGTTTTTATACGGCGAGCCGAAGGAGACGAAGCAGCGGTAGAAGTCTTCGGATGGTTAGCTAATAATTTCTGTGACTATAGTATTAGTATAGTCTTCGATATCGAGGTCGAGGGCGGCTATTAAAGCTAGGAGGCGGCGGCGGTATATAGACATTTTGGTTGTTAGTAGGTGGTTATGTTAGTTGGTGATTGCAATAATTGATGGTTTAAGAAGAATATAACAAGATTGTGTAGATGTATACCTCAAATAGCCGCAATAGCACATGATGTCCGGATCCGTATAGCACAAGCACTTCCAGCTTCACTCACATGACTCAGGGCCTGCGAATGGATCTTTTGCACATGCTTTTCGAATTTTGGTTGCATGTGATAACTGAGTAGATTGTGAAGGTAGCATCTGTCACGTATTCACGAGATGCCTCAACTGAATCCGCTTTTGCAGTCCCAGCGGTGAGTTCCGAGTCGTTGGTCTGATCTTCCTCTGGTATAGATATCTCGCTGTTCACCCACGTACCGCACACCGTGAGAGTGCCTGGGCCCGAGACGTAATGCTCGCCTCTCTTCGACATCAAGATGGTACCGGTCCCAGTTGCTGAGTTATGAAGTCCCAGTATGCAGTCCGGATGGAGATACTTTTCAGCTTCCGTTAGGTCAGAATGATGTGAAGCGGGAAGAAAAGTAGGCGAGACCGCAGCTCCACGGCTTTAATAGTTGCTGTCGTCGCGGTATGCAAGTTTGCTTCACGGGGAAACGTCAGTACCATTGAAGCTGGTAGATGTGATGCGTCAAAGAGCTCATCAGGCCGACAAACTCACCTTTGTGCTGACAACATCCCTTCAAACTTCGACATCCGGCCTAAGCGGCTCAGGGCCCAGCCCTTGTGCTGCGCAAAGCACGTAGAAAGCCGAGACGGTCGTCAGAGCATTCTTGTAAGCTCACCTATCCCATCCCCTCAACCCCCTCGACCAACCCGCTCATCCCCTCCAAATACAAATCAAACTCCTGCCTAAATCCCTCCTTATCTTGATCAACATCATCAGTAACACGATCAATATAAATCGTCTTCATCCCAACTTCCTTAGCACCGCGAGTATCATACCCATGTGCGGCAACCATAGCACATTCCTCAGGCTCTAATTTGAGGAGTTCGAGAAGTCGGTAGTAGCTCTTGGGATCGGGTTTTATGTAGCCGAGAAGTTGCGAGGAGAAGAGGTTGTGGAATTGGAGGGAGGAGGCGCGGCAGAGGTCTGGAGGACATGTGAGTAGGATGCGTGACTTTGCTGAAGGGAGGGAGAATGACCTAGCTGTAGTCTTGTCGTTCCATTTGCATGGACGAAGACTTCATAGCCTTTCTGCTTGAGAGCTTCGATCGCAGGCTTTGTGTCTGGCCATGCTTTCTGTTCGTGCCAGGCTTGGATCAGTCGATCGATGGCAGCAGGAGCCAGAGCCTTGTTGAGTTGGGCCGCTTCGAAAGTGCCGTTGTTGATTGCAAGAGGTAAGGTGTTTCGATGACTAGTATCGATATCCTCGGGAGGTAAGCCTTTCTGTCGTCGTTCTTCGTTGTACTTGAAATATGTGTGACGCCAGTCCAGAGCAAGCTGACTTCCCGTCTCATGTGGTATTGATTGAGGCATGGCTTCGACGATCGTGGCATGCCTACTCAAATGTCAACTTTCAGCAACTCTCAGCAAACACCCGTCAGTGTTAATGGCACTCTCTAATTTGAATCGGAGTCCACGAACTGACTCGGTGCGACTACGACTTTTCAGATCAGCTCATATCGTACTTACCAATCAAGGCAAGTACCCACGAAGTCGAACAGAACTGCTTTGATCTTCGGCATCTTGATTGCGTCGCTCGTTAAAGGCCTCCGGCGTTGCCTTGAAGTTTTGATCTTCCTTCACTTGCCTGCGAGCTGCGGTTGAGGAAGGCGTCAGTATGTGCTTGCAAGCTCTTAATGCATGTCCGGCAAGCAGTACATGTATTGTCTATATCGACGTGAGAAGCTCGCGCCCTTCTGCAATGGCAGTGCGCTTACGTCATTCAGCTTAGCAATTTAGGGAGCTGGGAGCTGGGAGCTGGGAGCTGGGAGCTTTCTATGCGTGAGGCTGAATTACGACAGCTTCTGCACTCACGAAGGCTAGCACCGCATGCATCTTCGCTCATCTATACATTCATTTGCCCTTCTTCACCCAGTCCTGCACGCTTTCTCTCGCCTCCTGCACCTTGTCCTGTGCCATGGCCAATCCCATCTGGCTATGCGCCTTGCCAGTCTCAATGAAATGCTTGATGCCATCCCGTACTCTGGTGTGGTTGTCTGCTACAACTGGGAACTTCTTCTCGTAGTGCCAAATGAGGTTTCCGACATTTTCTGTTGTTCGGGGTATCACGTAATGGGCTGCGACTACGCCGGTGATTAAGGGCGTCGAAAATCTGAGAAGGATATTTCGGTTTCTGCTGATTATCGATCCTGCCATGGCTGCGACGAGAACGTAAATGCCGCCGGGGAGGAGTTTTTCGTTGCTCTCTTTCGGAGGCGCGAGCGAGGCGATAGTCTGGGTAAAGGAGTGCTCGGCATCCATGAAGCGGTTCATGCCCTTGTTGACCGCATCCTCTGCCTTGACAGCATATCCATGGAGAGCTAATCGCGAGCCTTTGATCTGCTCAGCGAGTCTATCCGTTGGTGTCGGGCCTCTTCGTCGTTGCTCTTTCTCTTCTTGGGGCTTTTCGGTTATGCCGGAGGCTGGGGGAGGTGTAGTAATGGCTACTTTGCGCGCGAGCTCTTCTGAGGGCGATTCGTAGATTGGCTTTCGTCGCTGAGGAGAATCAGTAAAGAGTCTTACAATACGCAGAGCACATGCGCGCATACAATGTCCTTGAGAGGGTCTGAAATGGGCTCTTCTGCATAGGCATTGCGTTTCGGCAGGACGACGAGGGCGGTTGTGAGGCCAGCTAGGGGCAGAACATGCTACATCCAGTCAGTGATGTACGATATGATTTGACTGGACATACTGACCTGCCGTAGCAGCGGCGCAAAAGCCATGTTATGAAGGTGCAATGCTCAATCGGAGCTCAATGCGAAGTTCAACATCTCTCAATCGGCCGAAGCCTGGCGATACTATCGTTTACCTAAAACCTGTCAGTACCGGTGCGGGGAGAACCCTGCACCTCCGAGAGAGGAACCATACCGCTATTTTGGTGGTTTTTCAATTATTTCTCCTCCTTCTGATGTGTAGAATCCTCTAGTATATCGTAGATATCGTATCGTCGGTATTTTAGTAGTATAGACCCTTCCGAGGTATTATTGTTATTATTACTACCGCTACGCCGCAATAGTTAAGTCCGCTCGTATAAACCTCGACTAGCAAGGCTAGCTAATAAACCTATTTACAAAGGGTTGGACTACTAAGCAGGTTTATACCTTTATAAAGTTACTAATAACTATTAGATCGGTATATAGATATTAAGAGAAATACCGTATCTTCGGAGCGTTATATACTAAGTATACTAGCGGACTAAAGCGTAGTAATAAGGCTATCCTTTTTTAGTAAGAACGTGACTTCTTACGCGGCTTCCTTAAAGACCGGCCTAACGCCTATTTTATAGAGATTGTAAGAACCTAAGCAAGTAAAGTCTCCTGTCCTACCTTAGTAAGCCTATATAATAATTATATAATATTATTACGTGCAGTACGATGCAGCCGCGCTAGCGATAAGCTTGCTTAGCGTATACGCGTAATGCTCGATTACTCGTACGGATATACTCGGTATCCGGTATAGTAGATATACTATCCGTACTAGGCCTAGTTAATAGTAGTCGCTCTGCCCTATTCTAAGAAAGGTACGGTTTAGTTCTACTTTCTACTACGGCGATTAGTAGAGGGTATTCTATACGTTGCTATATACCTATTTTCTTATAGTTCTAAACCGTCTACCCTTTATAGCGGCCTATAGAACCCTAAAAGATAAACGTAAGCGATCCGAACGCGCCGGGCGCGGGAAACGCGTAGAATAATACCCTAGGAGCGCCGATAGTATTAGAAAACGACGCGGCGACACAATAATACGAGGCCGAATATTAGGTGCGCCGGGAAGCGATCTACCTATAGCTCGAACGATTTCTAGCTAAGCAAGAAGTACTTAGGCTAGAAGTCTAGGCTTAAGAAGCTAAGCGAGAGAATGCGCGTCTTCGTACCCTTAGGGACGTAGGCGATGCGCTAGCTCCGAGTAGCGGTACTGCTAGCGAGGGTCCTACGAGGACCTTACCTCTAGACGAGGACGAGGACGAGGAAGAATTAGCTAACGAGTCGATTTAGAGGCCTAAATCTTAGAAAGCTAAATCTGTCTCGTATCGACTACCTCTTTCCGGAAATGCGCTAAGCGTAGCTACTATACCTAGTATAAGCTACGTAGTCGCTAGTCTTGCGGCTATTAAGCCTCGCCTAAAGGAACTTAAGCCCTTTAAAGGCGATACGATTAAGGAGTCGAGGCGATTCCTTAGAGAACTTTCTATTACCTTTATACTATCCGGGGCTACCTATTATACGGACGAAAGCAAGGTGCTTTATAGTATTATATACCTCGTAGGCGATGCGTAGGAGCGATAGTATAATAAAAATAGCCTTAAGGACCTATAAAATTACACTTACTAGGACTTTAAAACCTTCTGTCGGGACTGCGTTAGGGACCCTATAAACCGTATGCTAGACGTAACCCTCGAGTATAAGGCGGCCCGTTAGCGTAAGGGACAGTTAGTCTAAAGCTTTGCCCTTAAGCTCGCAGTGCTTGAAGATTAACTTAGCGACTATAGCGAGGAGTATAGGATCCGCTATCTCCTCGTTAAACTCTAGCCGGCGATTCGTAGCGCGATTATTAAATACTATACGGTACTAACGACGCGTTACGAACTCGTAGAGCTTGCGACGCGTATCGAGACCCCTAACAAGCCGTCTAGTAAACGCAAGGATCGTAACTACGATAAAACCGGAGGTAGTAAAGGCAAGAAGCGTCGATCTAATAGTTAGGCCTGTAAGCAGTAGTTAAATCGCGACCGTAGCGTAGGCGGAAAGCATACGAAGGGCGATAACTTATAAGGCGGGTATAATATTAGTAAGGTCGAATGTTATAGCTATCGCTAGAAAGGCTATTATAAGAACGCGTACCTAAACCGCTATCTCTAGAAAGACGACAACCCTACGGTACGTAAGGTAGCCGCTAACGCTAAAGAGAAGAAGAACGACTTAAAGGCTAAGGGAAAAGATAAGGTACCTCCTAAGAGCTAGGGATAGGTGCGGAATCTCAACCGAGTAGCTTAGTAGTAGTAGTACCTACGGGACGCGTACGCGGAGCAATCGTTACGTAAGAAGGGGAAGTGTCCGTCGAATGCTTATTAGATAATGCTACTAATATTAATATAGTATCTTAAGAATTCGTTCTACGATACTAGCCTTAGCGGATTATTAATACCGTGCTGCCTAGTGCCGACAGTTTCTAAGGCGACCGAGGATACTACTATAGAGCGCATTATCTACGCTTACGGATCGCCGACTCTATAGGCTAAGAACGCATTACTACCGGAGTGTTCTACGCTTTCGAGATACCCCTCCCTAATATTATTCTTAGTAGGCCTTAGAGGCGCGATTAAAAGGTAATCGTCGATAGTTCGACGGATGCCTAGACCTATAGGAACGAAGCCGTAGCGCGTTCGCCGTTCGATACGTATATAGGAACTATAGGAATTCTAGAAGGATATACGTAACGCCCTATACGTATATACGATTAGCGTTCGCTAGCTCCGCGACATCGCTAAAAGTTTATCCTTGCTAGAAGAATTTAAAGACTTCGAAGACGTCTTTATAATAACGCCTAAAGCGAGACGCAAGCTCCCCGAAGACGTAGAGTATACGATCGACCTAATCCCCGGAACGAAGCCGCTATACAAACCTCTCTACTATTCTTTAAGAAGAGAGCTTAGCGACCTTCGTAATTACCTAAGCTCGGCCTTAGATAATAATTAGATCTAGCTTAGTATAAGCGAGGCGGGTGCTCCGATCCTATTCGTACTAAAGAAGGATAGTAGTCTAAGACTCTACGTCGATTATAGGGGGCTAAACGAGATTACTATTAAAAATCGTTACCCCCTGCCTCTTATTAGCGAAACGCTTAATAGGCTTAAGGACGCCAAATAGTATACGTCCTTAGACCTTTAGGATGCATATTACCGTATCCGTATTAAGCGAGGCGACGAGTAGAAGACTACGTTCCGTACGCGGTACGGGTACTTCGAGTACAAGGTAATGCCTTTTAGGCTTACTAATGCTCCTACTACGTTTTAAGGATATATTAATAGGGCGTTAGCTAGCCTAGTTGATATTTGCTATATCGTTTACCTTAACGATATTCTTATCTATAGCAAAACGCGAGAGGACTACGTACGAGACGTACGCGCTATCCTTACGCGGCTCCGGAAGTTCGCCTTATATACGAACAGAAAGAAATGTTCCTTCTAGAAGAAAGAAGTCGAATTTCTCGGGTTTATCGTTAGTACCGAAGGCGTGTCGATAGATTAGCGTAGGGTAAACGCTATTACCGAATAGCCTCGCCTATTAACGCTAAAGGAGGTTTAATCCTTCCTTGGATTCTACAACTTCTACCGGAGGTTTATTCTAAATTACTCCCGAATCGTTATACCGCTAACCGCCCTATCGAAAGGTGCCGTAAATAGCTAGAAGCTAGGGTAGGTCCCGTAGGGCGAAAGCGAGGAGCAAGCGTTCCGCTAGCTAAAGGCTACTTTTAGCTTAGCCTCGATATTGCGATACTATAATCCTACGAAGCCCCTACGTATCGAGACCGATGCCTCTACGTTTGCCTTAGTAGGAATTATATTATAATAGAGCGAAGATAGGAATTAGTACCCTATTGCCTTCTAGTTACGAAAAATAGTCCTAGCCGAGACGAATTATAAGACCTATAACTAGGAGCTCCTAGCGGTTATCGAATCCTTTAAGCATTAGCGCCCGTACCTCGACGGCGCCTAGTATACGACCCGCGTAGTTGTCGACTACGCTAATCTTAAGGGCTTTATAAAGATAAAGCAGCTCGTCGGAAGGCAGGCAAGATAGGCAACCTTCCTTATACCTTTTAACTTTACTATTAAACATCGGGCTAGTAAGCGAAACCTAGCCGATACGCCTTTACGACGTAGCGACTACGAGAGCGAGTCGTAGGCGGTAAACAACCTTCTCCCTATATTATAGTCGAAACTAGCTCTATAGTTAAATCTGCCCGAGGATATCGAGCTAATTATAAAACGCATCTCTATTATATGTATAGGGATACGAGACGCTAGTATAGCGCTAGCGGAACGCAAGAGTTTTATTAGCAGTCCCGCAAGAGTAGCGGCTACTATTGTTAGGAATAACGGGCCCTACTACGAGACGCCTAATATAATCCTTAGTTTCGTACGCACTCTATAATAGTTAGAGTAAGCGAGAGGAGGAGGCTTATACGAGATAAGCTTACCGTCGGGTAGCTTAGCCTCGTTAAGTAGTTCTAACCTTACGCCTAGCTATTTACGCCGTAGTAACCTTATTTATTATAGCGATGCGCTATATGTCCCTAAGGACTACGCATTGCGTACGTAACTAATACGCATGCACTACGACGACCCTTTAGCTAGACACTTTAGTATAGCTAAGACTATAGACCTAATACGCCGAAAGTACTTCTAGCCGAAGATAGCCGAGGATATTACGGCCTATGTCCGTACCTATAGAATTTGTTAACAGTCGAAGGCGAAGCGCTATCGTCTATATAGCGAGCTCGCTACTCTACCTATACCGACCCGACCTTAGCAAGAATTAACGATAGACTTTATTACCGATCTCCCGCCGAGCAAGCTCGGTGCCTACGTATATACTACGATCCTCGTAATAGTCGACCGCTATACGAAGATAAGCCTCTTTATCCTAACGACAAAGAAGTATATAGTAGTAGAACTCGCGGATATCCTTTAAAGGGAGGTAATTAGGCGTTTTAGAGTACTATTAGATATTGTTAGCGATCGTAGATCGCTATTTACTAGCTAGTTT